CGCGGTCCCTCGCGGGTGCGCAGGCCGCCTGGGCGGTTAACGCGTTGCCCTGGTAAGGGAGCCCCCACGGACTGGCCTCCCCTTCTGGACCGCGGGGAGAGGGCTGGCAGCAGATGTACATCAGATAAATCGAACAAGCGTAATGGGAGAAACTTTCAGGGCAAAAGGAATTTTGAGTCGATTCAATATTTTAGTTGGGTAGTGGGCGTTGATGCTGTATCTGTGCTGTTAGGAGCAATGCGATACGCTTCCCTCTGATTAACAGCCTTGCTTTTAGTCTTTGTTTTCGTCAAACTAAGAGCAGAAGGGTGAATTACTTTGAGAAAAGGTTTTGCTCTTAAAGTGGCTGATCTGCTTTGCCCTGCGAAGGAGCTCCGTTCTCTCTCAGGTTGCACAGCTCCATGTTACTGACTTTATCTGAATTTGGGAGCACTGCTATATAGTCCCGAAAGCAAGAAGGGGCACTGGTGTGACAGGGAGTACCTCCTGTCCATCTGCATGTGTGTGTACAGAGGTTGGGAATATGTGGAGACTGGAATTTAGCGTTGCAAACAGAAAGCTACAAAGCAGTTGCCTCAGCAGATCTAATGGTCAAGTCTGTTCAAGGAGCCAAATGACTGGAGCTTTTTCCTAGATTGTACGAAGACATTAAATGCAATGTTTTCAGGGGTGCAACAGTTGATTTAAAAAGCCAATAAATAAGAAGAAGGTGTGAAGCTGGGCTACTATATGCGCCTATCATTCTTGGGGCTTACAAATAAAAACTTCGTATTCTGCCCTGCTTTTACTGTAGTTTTCCATTTGTAACCTCCTCCCCCTGCCATTTATAGCAGCACTTGATAATAAGACTATTCACAATACTGTCGGAGCACCAGAGAAGCAGAGGCAGAATAGCTGTCCGGGCAGAGGGCTGGCTTTGGAGCATCAGAAGAGACCCTTCCAAGTAAAGGTGGCTCATGGGTAAACCTCCAGCCGTAGTACCTCCGTGCTGATGTATCACTCAGCGCTGTTGGATTGCATGGTCTTTTTTCATCTATCTCAACAACCTCATAAGGCCATGAATACAGCAGTGGAATTTAGCCTACGCTGTACTTGTGGTGTGCATAGTGATCTAGCGAACACTACTTTGGTCTTGATTGTATGCGCCTTGTCTCATTGTTTGAATTGTTGAGATTTAGGGCCTAGTCCATTAACTGCTACCTGTATACATCTACCTGTGATGTTTGTATGAATTCCCTATTTGGGCTATGTGTAAGACTAGGTCCTTTAATTCAATTAACAGAAGAGAGTTGAGCTCTTTTTGCAATTGATGATGTTTGTTTTTCACACTCAGAAGGAAATTATAGTCCTTATCGTTCTCTTAAGAACTTTATAAATGCTCCACGGTCCTCATGATGCCCATGTTTGTTATACTTGAAAAGAATAGTAAGAAACAGAAAAACAGTGATTTGCTCAAGGTTTTAGAATTTACCTGTGCCAAAGCTTTAACTTAGAATCTAAGAATTTCTTGGCTTTATCTCTGTGCTCTGACCATGAGAAACTGTGTCTTTCTTCCACATTTGAAGTGGAAGATGTTTATGTTTATGATACACGAAGTGGAAGATCTTGGTACACAAAATGTACCAAGAGAAAAAATGCTAAGGTTGTATAAAACTTCATTCTCCTCTCCCAACCCAACTCTCCATTTTTAAATTCTTTTTTAGTGAAATGCAACTATAACTGTGCATTTGTATGTATTTTTTTCAGATTTGCAACCAACATAATGCTGAAGCTCCCAACTTGGAACAAGCACTTCACAGAATGGCACAAACAGAACCTAATCTGGACCATGACGTATCGTGGTTCCTCCTTCCGTCATACTGGGCTAAAATGGTTGTGGCATTAATTTCCTTCCTCTGTTTTGCTAACAGCTACGATGGAGATTTTGTCTTTGATGATTCTGAAGCCATCATCAATAATAAGGTTTGTCTCTCTTCTTCCCCCCCGCACCCTTTGACATAAATGGTCATAGGAGAAGAAATAATGACAACAGTTGATCTAAGCAGGCCCAAACTATTCATCCTAGTAAAGAGCTTCCTTCTGATATTCCATTTTTTGAACTTCATTTTTCTCTTTTGTCTTACTGGGTTTTTTTATAGTAAGCCTTATTTAAGGTTGACAAACAAGCTGTGCAGCAGTGCTCTACCGAAAAGCTAGAAGCATAAGTATGCTTAACAAAATCTTATTCCTAAAGCTATTTGAATAACATGACTTGGGTTCTAATGCATAAACAAAAGAGTGAACAAATTAAACAGCTTTTATTATTTTTTTTTTTCCCCTCAGAATGTGTCCCCTTTCATTCTTTTGCAAGTGAGATTCTCTGCTTAACAAGTGTTGATATCTGGTCAGGGGGAAGGGATCTCTTTTTGCCATACCAAGTGAACTTTGTCTGCTTGTCATCTAAGAAAGCATTATCTAGGGTTGCAGCAATGTTTAGTAACCCTTATTCACAGGGTACCTGTACATCAAGACTGCCTATAGATCTAATTTTATGCTCATTTCTAAGTGAGAGTATGCAGTAGACTTTTCTAATACCCTTTGATGTTAATAGGAAATTTTTTCATTATCTTCTCAGGGTGACAGATGAATAAGCCCAATGAATAAACTTACTCTGGTTGCAAGATACATAATACATCACTAAGTGATTGTAGGGTGTATGGTTTCTCCAGCTGTGGTTTATACCATAAAAATGTCACAGGAGCAAGGAGAGCTTCCTTTTTCTATACTTGTTCCCCACTTAAAGTTCCTGTGGCAACAGTATTTTTTCTTTAAATAGAGGCAGAGTATTCTCGTACTCTATTTTAAAACTGATCATACATGCAAGGAACAATCCTTGAATTACTTAGAAATTAATATGTGACTGGAACAAACCTCTAGCTGAGATTCTTTTGACTTGACAGGTTGAGTGTCTTCAATTGCTGAGACACTTCATAGAATCACATGTAGCAGTTAGTGAGCCTGTGCTCATGGGTGGGTCTTGGTGTTACAAGCTGTTACACTGTTCTGGAAGGTACTTGTTAAATGTTTGGAAAGAGGAGCACAGGGTAAAAAGAATTGCCCTCATCTGTTGGTTCTGTTTTCCTGAAGCCATGGGCATACAGGGAGCATGATCTGGAGACTCATACTGCTAGAAGAACACAATTCACATTTTTTTGCCTTGCACAAAATATAGTGGCAACTTATTGCAATGTGCCTTTTAGAATCCCACAGAATTACTGTTTCCTTAGACAAATTTGTATTATGCTTGTGTAAGTCATCATACCTTGAGTTATAAATGTATGGGGGGAAAATACATCTGCCAAACTGGAAATAAATCTCAAAGCTTCTAAGAGAATGCGATAGACAAATTAAGAACCTGTAGTGACTTTTTTTTTTTTTTAAGAAGCATTATATTTTAAATTACACAGTTCCTGGCAACGTTTCATTCTGCCAAGTTTTATTTGGGGCACAATTATAATATTTTAATTTCCTGAAAGAATGAACAAAAGATTGATGTTGAAACAAGGCAAGTTGTTTTGCTCCTGTGCAATTTCCATACTTATAATCTTTCTCCATTTCTTTCAGTTTTTACTTTCAAAATGTTTCAATTTATCTATGTAACACAGCGACCTGCACCGGGATTATAGCTGTTGGCAGTGCTGAGAAATTCAACCAACTGCTTAAATAGATTAATTCATACCTAGTCTGTATGTTTGAAAAACTGTGAGGCTTATTCTATTTTTCGCATCAAAATCCTCTATTATTCCCTAGAAATTAAATGAGATTTTTGTGGCAGTATCATTTTAACACAGGGGTCATATCAATATATGGAAATACAAAATCCAAAAGAAAAATACAGAGACAATGAGTTTACCACTTTAATGGGGAGGGAGGGCATCTAGCAAAGGCACAGTTTATTAAAAAAAGTATAGCATATTTTATTCCTATTCAATAGGAGAGGCAGCAGGTGAAGTAATTTTGTAGATTTACTGAGCATTACTGTATCAGTATTTTCTTTGATACCATACAGTGACCTTTTTGTTAATTTACTAGCTCCCACCACCCCAATCTTTCAATTTTTTTTTTTTTTTTTTTTTCGGGAAAGACACACTGGAAAGATACACTGTTAGTTGACCCTATGTATCATGGAACATTCTGTTACTAGATTTTATTTGGGTTCAAGGCTGTTTTCCAGATGCTTTCTTGTCATTTTAAGCAGCATTTTAACTGGTACAGAACAGTGACTTTTGTCTTTATTTATTTACTAGCTTGGCAAGACAAACGGATTAGGAGAAGCTTCAGACACAATGTGTCATTTCCATAAGCCTTTATATAGAAAAACTGACTCTTCTTCAAATATTGAACTCTGCTGTCTGTAAGCTGCTGCTAATCAAATATTTAGAGATTCTTTGATATCTACTTTCAGTTCTTAAAGAGAAAATAATACGTAACTTTTAAACAGCTGTGTCTCTTAGAGCAGACCATTCCTATTTTAGGGTAAGCCCACTGAGTGGGGAAAAATAATGTAAGAAGCTTTTTCTCACAGAACTTGGATACAAGAGCAAGATACATGACTGAAGATTTTTAGGTCATATGGAAGTGTAATCTAATCACTAAGTAATTCCCTGTATTCAGCTTTTCCTGCAGTCTTCCTGTGAAAGACAAAAGAAGACTGATTCTGGTGGAAGGGGAGATCTAGCCTTGCACATCTCAAATGTATTTCCCATCTCAAGTTATTGAAGACTATCTGTGACATAGAAGACATACTTTTAAAATTTTAATACTAAAATCTGTCTTTCATAGTCCTTTTCTTTGGCAAATGTACATAAGGAGCAGTGCTGTTGGTTGGAAAAACAGTCTGAGGGCCACAATGCCAACTAACAGCTGTCCCCTGCAGAGAACAAAGACCTCAGTAGACGTTGGCGTACAACCCAGTCCCAACTTGCCCCTGGAAAAGCAGGCCATATTGATTGATTTAGCAAGCTGCTGGTTGAGTGCACTCTTGCTCTGAGAATCAAATGATGACCTATGGGGTTTGTGCATACCAGTGAGGAATGGACAGGAATTCAGGTGCCTAAGGCCAAAATTGCAGTCCTGGGAGAAGAAATAAATTTGTAGCTATTGTTTTGCAGTAGAAACATCTGTGAGAGAGTGAAGAAACCTTGCACCTTGATAATTCTTAAGCCCAATAGGATCGCCTTGTGAGTCTTGATTTCTTAAGATTTTCCCTGAGAATGCCTTAATGTACAGCTGCGATATAGGACTTTTCAAAGACTACAGAGTTAGCCCTGCTCTCTTTTCTGCGTATTGATTAGTAACCTATTAGAGAATGCTTCGTTTCATTTGACAGTGTGCTAGGATTTTTAGCCTACTTCCCCTTCTTGATTTTTTTTTTTTAACTGGTTGTCTAATACTGGCCAAACTTGATCAAGTGATAGAAATAAACCTCCTCCTGGATTTTTTTGATTTTTGGATGGATGAAAGGCAGAATGTGTTAAGAGAGAAGCAAGAAAAAATGAGTTAAGTTCAGTTTAGCAGTAGCCAGTCAGCGTGGCCCAGACATTTGGCTATACCTTGGGACTAGCAGTGGTATGTGTTCTCTCTTGCCTTGTTGGTAGGCCACAAATGCTAGCTAAGGATGAGATGGAAAGTACTGGAGGCCACAGGAGGTGCTCAAGATACTGTAGAAGCGAGATGGTAGCAGCATTTGAGAGGAACTGGAGTTAATGAACCAAGGGTATTGTAATGTGGGAATCTTGTAAGTAGATGGAGATGTAGGAGGAATAAGACATAGGACAGCAGGCTTTGTAAGACCTTTCATGGGTTTAGCAGCCTGGTTTGTCTGCTTACTTGTGTTTGTATTGGCTTGTTAATCTGCTTTGATTTGTTGGTCTCTTGAACAATTTCAGGGGAGAAGGCTGGGGGTAGAGTAACTTGTGGTTGATTGCAGGTGTAATACCAGCACTCATACAAAAGCTATTCATTTGCTAGTACAATTTTGTTCTTAGGTTCTGTCTTAAGTGTATTTAACCTGCATGTTTGCAAATGGTCTTTAATAAATTGGTATTTAGTTGCCCCAGGGAAGCAGGAGAAGAGGGGCAGGTAGAAGATGAATACGTTAGTTTGAGCTTCCCAGCTTGTCCTCACAGAAAACTGAGGCAGGTGCTACCAAGGTCCTTATTTTTTCCTCTCCAAAGTGTACGTTTTCCATTGAATAGTCTAGGTTATTTGGATTTTTTCATTATCAGCATGGCTTTAAGATAAAAGGAAAGAGTAGACTTTTCCTTTGCAGTGGTTTTTTTTGTAGTCCCCTACTCCACCCCAAATTAAAATAATTCATTACTTTTCTGTCTTCTGCTATTAATCTTTTAGAGCAGTATATAGAGATTTTGATTCTTGGTTTCATGTAGTAAGAATTAAAAAAAAAAAAAAAAAAAGCTCTTTGAATAGTGTCCTGTGTGAAGTAAGGCTTCAAAAAGAGCTAATTGTTGTTTTCTATCTTTAGTGTTCTTGCTTTCATGCTTTCATTAGTAGTTGTGCTACTGACACTGGTAGAAAAATAGCTATTTGCAGCAGTTTGTAGTTGGCCTCCTTCGCAAGATAACCTAGAGCTAAAATCAAAGGCTTTTTACAAAACTATAAGGTAAAGTTTTTTTTCACGTGTTTTATATCTCAGCTATTGGCCAGATTATCAACTGATATGAATACTCATAACTCTACTAAATTTCATGTAGTTATGTCTACTTACAGAATCCAAGCATCTTGGCCTTTATGATGACAGGCATCCAAGATATGACCTTCATTGCAAACTTGGGTACCTTGTCAAATGTCAGTAGTGAGCCAACAAAACACCTGCTATGTCCATGTTAGCATGAGCTTGTATTAGTTAGAACTTGTTTGTGTTTTAGCTGCTTTGAACAAAACAGAGATATTAAAAATCTGGTAATTTATGATGTTTCCTTTCAGGACCTCAGGGCAGAAACCCCACTTGGTGACCTGTGGCATCATGACTTTTGGGGTAGCAAACTCAGCAGCAATACCAGTCATAAGTCATATCGACCACTAACTGTCCTAACTTTCAGGTAAGACTTGTCTTCTTGCTCGAGGTCTGAATTTTTTTAACATATATTGGCTCAACTGATTATAGGGAGGAGGCAACAGAAAAGGAGAGAGACAAAGTAGCTGGAGGGTAGTTGGATACCTTTCCTGAATATGATTTTCCTGTTCACTACCTTAATCTCAAACTGAGTTTTAATTTTCAAATTGTTTCTTTCCCAAAGTATACATTATTTTGACATTCTGTATTTCAGTGTACCTTTCAGAGATTGTATCTTGGTACTAGGGGCAGTATGGTTCAGTATGTAGGTCACATCATCAAAGAACTAGGAGGTGTTCGTCCCCTCCATTTAGCCATGCTGCCACTCGTACTGCTGTTGTAGTTTCTGTTCTCTGCTTTCCTGGTGACCTGTCAAATGATTTTTTATAAATAGCATCAATCTACTGTGGCCTTTTGCCACTAGGTCACTGAATAGTCTTCCCACCTCTTTGCCCCTGATACTCTAACTTCAAGTGAGAGTTTGTGTGCGAATCCTAGTGAGAGAGATGTTTGCCTGTATATGTAACTTGCTGTTTTTCTCAAATAACTAAAGGTTTATGAGGATTACTTCTGTAGATGCTTAGCTCATGTTTTTTGCACAAAGATTTGAGCAAACAGTAGACCATGTAGAAACTGGGCACAGTAATGTAGAGAACTTTGAGGACTCAGTGTTAAGCTTCTTTATTTTCCCCATGCAACACAGTGTTGTGGATGGGGACCTGGCACCGGTTCTGCAGTTGTGGCTGGTCTAAGCCAGGGACTAAGTGATTGCGGAAGAAGTACTCCCACTCTTAGTCCTCATATTCAAGCGAAAACTTTGACTCTTGAGTGTAGTGTCAGTGTTTTAAGTACTTTGCGCTGTGGGTTTCACTGTCTGTTGGAGTTTCTTCACATTTTTGTCAAGGAAAATATGCAACTGAATAGAACGTGTCAATCTTAAACCTATTAAAGCTTTCAGTGCATTACATAGCACGTGCTTTCCTTTCTTTTCAAGGTCCCTGTGGTATATTCCATCTCTAGTAACATCCTGGTTAGTTTAAAGAGCGAACTGGGGTACAGTCATTACTATATCTGAAAATATAGATGAGCATGTGGAGATGGTCCATAAAATGCTATTTTCACAAGTAAGAAATTGGTTTTCTTAATTTCCCTAAGCTCCAACTTTTATGTGTATCACATTTATAATAGGTTAGGCTTTTTTAATAGATTTCACTTAAGCCAGAGGCAGGCTGACCAAATGAACTCTATAAAATCCCTTTCCAGACTAAGTTTCTGTATATCTCACCTACTGATAAAAGTATATAGATAATAACAAGATGTTTCTCCCTTTTCTTCTCCCTCTCCATTTTACCACAGAGTTCCTATCCTGAATAGAGTTTTAGACTGAATTTTCACTTACACTTCCTTCCGGTTCTAATACTTGCATGAAACCTCTCTCTAACCAGTCTCACAAATTAGTTATTAAGATGTGCTAATTGACTGCTTTCTGGATTGATACTGGATTGTACCCAGATGGTTTCCACATCATCAGTCCAAATGCTAGGACGTTTTTCAGTTAAAATGTCAGTGGAAATCATAGTCTCGGTGCGTATTAGTTTTCTCACTGTGTGGATTTAATTAAAATTATTTCATCAGGTTGTTTTGGGACATAGTTTCTCTTAAGCCCAAGGGTATCCATCCCCCCAGTAGGCTGCGTTGTTCATCCGTGGGACACTCCTGTGTTGCAACATTGAAGTTATGCTGCTGACCAAAAGCCAGTTCCAAGTAGCCATAGGTGTGATTAACATAATAGCATTAACATATGTCTTTGGAGAGGATAGATATTATGCTGAATATGGTATCCCATATGAATACCTTTGAGTAAAGATCAGGACATTGTTTCTAGCCTACTGTGGTGGCTAAGTGGTATGCATGCTGGGGTTTGCTGGTATTTTTCAGCCTTTTTTTTTTTTTATGTGTGTCTAATATGATCTTGCTGTGGGGTTGTTTAGATTTTCTGTTTGCCTATCTCAAACCATTGATGTAACTCCTAGCCTTAATGTTTTTGTTTCTATATAGAATTAATTACCTTTTTGCTGGAGGCTTCTACCCAGTTGGTTTCCATGTCATCAATATAATACTGCATTGTACTATCTCAGTGTTGATGGTTGATGTGTTCTCCATTTTATTGGGTGGACTGCAATTCAGTAATAAAGGAAGAAGGCTAAACCTGGCTCCAAAGACATCTCTTCTAGCTGCTTTGCTGTTTGCTGTACATCCAGTGCACACCGAATGTGTAAGTATTGGATAATCAGCTTCAACAATTTATCTCTTAAAAGTTCTTTACCATCTTGACTAACTAGTTCTGACATAGCCTTATAGTCTAGACATTGGTTTTATATATGCTTAACGCTTCTCTTGGCACATGTCTTAGGAGAACAATCAAATGTTATGATTAGTACGTCCAAAAGCTTGTAATTCCATGGGGCTGGCCCTTATTAAGGAAGATAAATTAAATCATTTAAGTACGATAACTAAAGAAGCGTAGCCCTAAACTACAGTTTCCCTAATTACTGGATTAAGAATTCATTACTAGAAGCATTAGCTCATGAGCAGCCAAGGAGAATGGAAGATAAACTGAATGCAAACACATAACCACTTTTCATTTCCATTTGCTTTGATAAAAAACCAAGGAGATAGAAAATTGGAGTAGGGGCATTATATGAACTCTGTATTGGAATACTGCATCCAGTTTTTAATCCATGCTGCAAGGAAGACACTGGGAAAAATGGTGGGAGCTCAGAAGAGCCATGAAAATTATTAAAAGACTGGAAATCATCCCATGTCATGAGAGATCGAACTCCATGGGTTTATATTTTTAATATGAAGGAGAAGATTAAAGGTTTGGTTTCTTTTAGCACAGTCTGTAATTATGTACATGGGGAACACAAATTTGATAGTAGTGGACCGTTTAATAGTGCAGACAAAAGCGTAACAGTGGCTGGACATTGAAACTGTAAAGATGCAGAATAGAAACATGGCACATGCATGGCAACCAATTAAAATACCTGACCAAAGATCAAAGTCCTTGTGTGGAAATTCTAGTGAAGAGGAGATGGTTTTCTTAAAAAGCTCTTTTGCACTCGTAGCTAAGAAAATCTTACGGCCTTATGCTGGTGGGCTTGCTGGATGTGGTCCCCGACTGCTTGATCTTATAATAATGAATAAATGAAATATAAAATAATCACAATGAAGGAATCGGGTTTTTTAGAGCTTGGAAGGACTGAGCTACTGAAAAAGTACTAACTTTAGCTTTGATCTTTGTGGTAGTAATGAACACTGAATCCTCAGTGCACCTTATTCTATATATGTGGCACTGATTTTTCATTTATTCACAATATGCCATGGTTTTGGCTTTTTTTCATTTGCTTTGCACATGATTGATGGGGAAGAACTTATGGAAAGCTATGCCTTTCAGCTGACTGGGGACCCTACATGTATTGGAAACCTAGAGATGGTGCAAAGTTATGTATTAGCAATTTGGCACCTTATTTGGCAGTGTTGCTAAAACATCCTGCCAATCATTCTCTGGTGTTTGCTTGCCTGCAAAATAGCTTCTTAATGAGAGCACGTTGTGCTAGTGTCAGAAGGGCCCCTGGTATTTGTTCTGCAAAACCAGTTCTAGATGTCAAAGTGAAGTAAAACAAGTCTTCAGTGCTTTTGATGTTCTGGCATGTGAAGAGAAATCTCACTTGAGTCTTAACTTTGTAGTAGGCTTACTATCGGCTCCTTTATCGATATCCATAATTTTATTCTTCATTGCGTTTGCCTCTAAAAACATGTTTAAATCAGCAGGCAAATGTTAATAGGACCTTAGTCATGTCGAATAAATTACAAGTGATGCGGTCTGCTTGCATATGCAAGGTTTGACGACTTGCCTATGCTCTGGGCAAACATTGGAAGAAGAGGAAAAAAGTAGCATGCTTGCATACCATGTCTTTTCTAAGATCCAGGAGTGAAAAAAGGCCTCTACTCATTTACACAGTGAATAATAAATCTTGCTGCACTGAAGCAGTCATGATACTGCTATGGTTCTAGCATGACTGTGTCTCAGGCAGCATCTCCTCAAAAAGCATGCCTCATGATTTTAAAGCTGTGAGTTTTAAGTATCATGACATCCTGGTTTTGAAATGAGATGACATATTTTGACATAAAGTTGTGAAGAATCTGTCTGTTTGCTGCTTTGGATTTTGGTATATACAGCACAAAACAAACTGTCATGTAAAAACAGATCTTGAAAAGTTTAATGCTTTCAGTACCTATGTAAGAAAAACATCTGTCACTATCATTTTTCTACCTACAAGTAAATACTGTTGTGGTGTAGTTCCCACTTCTAAAAAATGTTTATTCTTTGTAACACTTGAGTGATGAAATACTAATGAAACACAGACATAAGAATATACCTGATACTAATTTAAAACTGTTGTGGTTTTTTTGTTTGTTTACCTTGTTACCAGAGACTACGGGCCTGATCCTGCATTTGAGATAACATTGTACTGTTGGAGTCATCTGAGGCTATATATGCGTTATTAGGCCCTTAATCTCTTTGTTGTGACAAGTTGGCATTTAATTTCAAAATTGTCTCAGTTCACCTTTACTTATATGTCATTAGCTGAGAGCAGCTCCTGAACAGAATGACGCTTCATTATTTTCACCTTTCAAAGCACTCCACAGCTATTGAGTTAATTCTCGTAATTCCTCTATAAGATAGAAAAAGAAGCAGGGAAGTTAGGTGTATGGCTTTGGATAAATCAAGTTTTTCTGAACTGAATTCAGGAGTCCAGCAGTTTCTCCTTTTACGCTGCTCAAGGGAAGCTGAGAGTAAAGTGGGAGAGAGTCTCTTCAGTGGATTCAGTCCTACTCTCATGCCTCTAAACTTCTCTTTCTCTCTCTTTGATGTTGTTTAGAAATAGTCGTTCCATCATGTCAGACTGACACAACAAAAATGCCCTTTTCCTAAGAGAGGGCTAGCAGGTCCCTTTAAACAAAATGAAGATACAGTTTACCTTTTTACTTTCCTCCTGTTCCACTCACAAAATGGGACAACTGGTGTACTACACAAGAACCAAAGTTTCTGCTTTTGTCCCTGAACCATCACCTCAAAAAGTGGATTAAAAAAAAACAACCTATAGCTGTTCTGCCCTGCTTCAGAAAGGTCTCTGTGTACATCTCCTGGAAACATGGAACCCAGCGCTCCAGGAAGTAGAGCTAGATTGGAAACAAAGGGGTGTTTTCATGATCCTTGCTCTGGCTGTATGTTCTGGTGAGATCCCAACATCAGGGCCTATACAGTACCCTGCCACCCCCATGTGTCGTAAAAAATTCATGGTGTATCCTGACACTTGTGTAATTGAGGAACGAAGATCCAAGAGTATGTCATGCTGTGTCTCAGCAAGTCACTGTAAATACAGTTTAAGGGCTTGAACCAAAGCTTGTTGATAGCCCTGAGAATGCTCCTGATTTAAATAGGTTGGCATAGGTCCGGACTACAGAGGTCCCAGAATGTGCTTCTCATTTTCTTTTGCGTTAGCACAGTTTCTGTTACAAGATACAGTTGGAGGTAGCTCTAATGCAATCAATTAATACAACACAAAAAACTGCCGGAGGGGGGATTTTTTTTTTTATTCTGGAGGCTGGAAGCTATTTGTCCATTCTGAGTGTTCAGACTGCAATTTGAAGGCTGGCTTGTCTTCTGAAAGTGGACAGTCTTGATTTGCCATTCAGCAGAGCTGCCAGTTTTGTTGGGGTTCAGGATTTTTGCTAAGGGTTCTACTGAAAAGCAACCTGATCCAAAAAACAGATGGAGTGGGACAGAGTCTACGTTTTCTTCAGCGAGGTCCTTCTTTGTTTTCTTAAAACAGCAGTTTTTCATAAACGAAAGCCAAATCATTTACGTAGTTGATACTAAGCAAAACCCAATCAAAATTAGGATGCGGCTTAGAAAACTGGGTGTCGCTAATCCAGTAAACCAGGTTAAAAAAAAAAAGTGATACAGTGATATTCTTTTATACATTTCACTTTGTATATGTGTGTGTACCTTTATCTCAAGTTTATTAAAATCTGGTAATCTGAAACTTTTTTTTTTAAGGTTGCTGGGATTGTTGGCAGAGCAGACCTACTGTGTGCCCTGTTCTTTTTGTTGTCGTTCCTTGGCTACTGTAAAGCATTTAGAGAAAGTAAGCATTCTGTTTGCCCCTTTAATTTTATATTGTGTATGTTTTCTACATTCATACATTTCAGTGAAGTATAGCAAAACTAAAAATGTCAGCTTGATATGGTTTGAATTTATTAATGTTTATACCGCCATAAAATATTTTTTAAAATCTGCTTTAGCAGGTATTTATTATTAGAAGAGCTGGAAGGATTGCTGTCCCTAATTCCTGTTAAACACTAGGAATTTATTTTAAGAAAAGTCTATTTTGTAATAGGCTTATTTGTTAAATGTTTTATTTTTTATAAGCATAAAAATATTTCAATAAGTATTTTAGAAAGAAATCAAACCTATAAATGGATATTCTTAAATATTTTAGTACTCTTTATGCCATTATGTTGGGATGGCTTAAATGGGAACGAACTTTGGGAACCTTACTTGTATTTTTAATGAATTGTAAAGAATTATTCATATGAGTAAGCCCTCTAAATTCCTGCAATATGCAAGTGCTGGCATATACATGATGAGTATAGTGTTACTCAGAGTTTTTGTAAGACAGCTGTATTTAACATGAGCAAATCCTTGTAGATGTTTTTTCAAGTGAGCTTTAGATCTCTTGTATTATTTGATCTGAATGTAAGTTGGCAGTTCAAATACAGTTGTGGAGAAATTATCTTGGGGCTCTGTTAAATAAACACAAAAGAATACATCAACTCATGATTATGAAAAACTATACGGGACATGCAATCTGGTATCTAAATGTGTCCCACCACAGGAAATATGGGAATCATTTGGTGAACCCATGAAGAGCTGTGTTGTGAAGAGCTTATATAGTATCAGTTCAATAGGTATGGCCTGTAATGTTTAACCAGAGTTGGCAGCATATTACAGAGGTACATGAGCTGGCTTTGAATGATCTAGCTTAACGACATAGTCATGGATGGCATCATGGAGCTTAGTGTAGGCTGAGGAGGGTTAGTTAGTCCACAGTGAGCTCTAAGATGCTGTGAATAGTTCCTGCTAATTGAGTTTAGATTGTTCAGAACTATTTTGCATATTTCTACAGCTGATACCACAAGTTTAACTTGATCTTCGCCACTTCAAATGATACTCATGTTGATTACTGTTCACTTCTGATATTTTTTTCTCCCCTTTGAGTAGGTTTCATTTCTTTCAACTGAACTAATAATTTCTTGATGAAAATTGGCCTTGGAATCTTGCTTGCTCATTTATTCTTTTCTCACCTATTTAACTGGGTATGATTGTGCTTTAATGTTTCTTCTGTTAGTGCCAGAGTAAATTAGGCAAATCAAAATATTGGCTATGTGCTTTCCAGTTTGTTGGTACAGGTAGACCTATATGGCAGGGGTAATCATCTTTGCTTGAAGAACTCAAGAGCCAAATTCTTAGGATGACGATTGGAGACTTTTATATAGGAATCTGTAATTATTTTACATATCAGGGATGATTAAGAATGTGATGTGTACTCTGGTTAGGGATATTCTGAGTGCTTGTACATCTTGCAAAGGCCAGTTTGATAGCTTTTAGAAGTCAGTGTCATTTTAATAGTATTCTTGTACAGAAATTCTTGTCACTGATACAGAAGAAGGAAAATGTGAAGACAAGATACTAAGCAGCACTTAGTATTTTTTATTGGACATTACATCATAACAGTGTCAGAGCTCTGTCTCTTAAGCAGATTTGCCAAGGAAAACTACAGTCTGCCAGCATAGTTGTGCCTTTTGTCTTTCAGATCAATTTTCACTGTTTACTGTCACCTTCACTGCCTGTTTTTCCCTCAGCGACTTCTTAAAGAAATTTAGACTGTCTTTGTACTCAAGAATTTGTATCCAAGTTACATACTTGAGTCTCTCCCAACAGTTTCCTCATTTTGGGTAGCTTGGTGACAGTTTCACTTGCAGATCCTATCTGGCATGTCTAAATGAGAGAATGAAAAGTTATTTCCAGCACTGTGAAGAGCACTAATAAGTTCTTTAGCAGATCTTGCATGGAGCCTGAAGGGAGGAGCCCAAGCTTCAGAGTATTTCTTTCCTCTGAACCTTACATGATTTGCTGCAGGCTGATGAGCAATGTGCCAAAAAACAGACATTTCAGAGTCAAGATTTCAGGTCAGAACGGTTCTGATCTGAAAACTGATTTTGAAATGCCTGGGTGAGATTCATTGCTCATCCTGGATGTGCCTTGCTGTGAAAAATCACTCTTTTGTAAATAGAAAGGCGGGTGAGAGAGAATAGAATAGACTATTTCAGTTGGAAGGGACCTACAATGATCATCTAGTCCAACTGCCTGACCAACTCAGGGCTGACCAAAAGTTAAAGCATGTTGTTAAGGGCATTGTCCAAATGCTTCTTAAACACTGACAGGCCTGGGGCATTGACCACCTCTCTAGGAAGCCTGTTCCAGTGTTTGACCACCCTCTC